GGAGTGAGTGGGGGTTGGGGGGCTTGTGGCAGAGCCCCCCGTGTAGCATGGGGTAGGGGGGGACAGCGGGGATCCCCCCCACCTCCAGGCAGCAGCTGGTGAGTGTGAGCTTTTTTTAAAGAGCCGGGAGCTGGGAGAGTGGGCAGGGAAGCCATTGAGAGTAGGCAGAGGATGGAACCTATTTGGAGATTCACCTGATTCGGCTGTGGCCAGATCTCTAAATCAGTTTCGGCTGAATTGATTTAGGACAGTGATTCGAATTACCAAATTGAATCACTGTCCCCCAAATCAGCTGAATCCAAAGCGAATACTAGCCGCTCCACACAGGCCTAGTAGTTATATGCATAGAAGTTTTGTAGGATTGGGCCCTTTATTTAGCAAATATGGAATGCCTGATTTATCTTGTAAAGGAAGGGATTAATGTAAAGCATTTATGATTTGGTGCCAGTGGTTTTACTTTGGTATTGAGATGAAGCCATTTCCTCTTTTCCCTTCTCATTTTTGTATACAGTTTGTATCCATGAAAAAGACTACGGGAACTTTATTTATAATGGTCAGTGTTTCCAATATGTTGATTGCAGCTTTATTTACTAGGTTACAGACACATGCATCCATCAAAATCCAGCAAATCTCCACGGAATAAAATTCAGTCAACTGAAAGGCATATATAATTGCATTGCAGTACAGCTGGGGAAGTTCATTCTGTCCCCCTTCTTGTTCTTTCCCATCATTCCTTTGGTATTTTTAGTCAAATTAAATCATGCAGTTATATTACTTAGAGTACACATTCCTTTGTCTTTTGTCTTCCTTATGGGATCTAAACAGTAGCTCGTAGTTTTGGTTGACTGAAAGGAATTCATTCTAATCTAAGGAAGGAACTCTTGTTTGTGTTCTGCAAAAGCTCATAAATTGGTGAGCTAACATGAAGAGAGAGCTATTAAGGAGTCTGAATAGACCTACAGTGGTGCTCAAACCCTGTTGGTCTTCTGTTTCACTCTAGAATGCGTATGTCAAATATCTGTTCTGTGGGCTGGATCTGGCCTGTGGAGCTGTCATATGGCCTGCGAGGGCTCCTGGAAGGGCTGGAAATTTAGGGGAGTGTGACAAGCAACAATGGTCTTAATCTCTGTGGCTTCCTGACCTACCATAGTGGCTCAGCGAACAGCAGGGGTTACCACCACCATCACTCTCCCCACTGCTGAATTTTGGGGTACAGAAACATTTTAGGGGACTTGATGGGGTAGCAGCAGGATGAGCAATGGCAGCGTTAGCTGAAACAGGGACTCAGACTTCTGCAGCCTCCAGCCACCCTACTTCCAGAAGTGGGTTTGATCTGGTCCACAAGAAGCCCCAGGGCTTGAATCTGGCCCAAGGATCAAACAAGTTTGACTTTCCTGCTCTAGAGGATTTGTGAAACAGCATGCTTCCATGTCTTGATCTAATAGGAACCAGGTCCTTCTGCAAAAGGAGGTACTTACTGGCAAGTTGGAACACGGCAGCTATGGCTTCCTCCCACCACTGGGTATCCTGAGAAATAATTGGCAGTTCCACCAGCCCCAAGACGAAAATGAGCTGACCAGCAGTCAAGGCAACTGTAGCAATTAGGTTACAGGCACGCATCATGTCAAATTGCACTGTGGGAAGAGACAGAAAAGAAGGGCATCATATTAAAATTAAATCTTGAGGACAGAAAAGTAACCATTCAGAGGCCATGTCAAAGCTGCCAGCCCGAGGGAAAATATTTGAGAAATTACATGACCGTGCTTCATCCCACCTTCATAATAAACATTTATTCTGATGTACATTCATGAGCAGGCTATCTAAGAACAGAATCCCTCTAATACAAGGATAGGTAACCTCTGGTGCAGGTGCCAGAGTGTGACACACAAAGGAATTTGCTTGGCATGTGGACCTCAGGGAAGACGGTGGGGAAGGGGCCATGGCTGCACTGCCACAACAAGGATTGGGCCCCGTATGGCTCCCCTGCCATCTGCCCCTGGTATGCCAACATCTCACAAGTGGGAGTTTTTGGCACTCTGCCCAAATACATTGCCAACCCCTGCTCTAATATAAGCTGCTGAATCTTGCCTTTCAGTTATACAGATTCCTCTTATCATTTTTCTGGAGAATGCTCTAGTATAGAAAAAGTAGGCTGTTTTCAAAGAGAGCCATTATCCACAATTATAAATACAAGCACTTTGGAACAGGGATCATCTTCTTGTTCTGTGCTTGTACAATGCCTAGCACAGTGGGATCCTTGCCCATGATTGGGGCTTCTAGGCATTACTGCAATATAAGTAGTAAAACAGTAATAATATAAACTCCAATGGCAAACTTTAATGCTTTGAATGTGTTGCCACTTTCCCAGGGTAATAATGCCGCATTTGAAAACAGTTGATGGGCTAATACTAGCATCTGGCAGGTATTTTACTGTAGCTGCTGATAGGTCTTTGTGATAGGATTTCTTAATTTATAAAATCTGTTCCCTTTCCTGTTCTGTCAGAACTGAGATTTGGTAATTTTTCAAGCATGCTGCAAAGCCATTCTTTTTCTATAGATTGGTGAGTTTCAACCTCTTTAGGCTCAAGGCACTCCTTATTTGATTCAGGGCACCCCTCAGAAAATGCTAGCTCTTAGCTTTCACTCATTTTTTGACTATGGAAAGATAGACCAATTTTTCTGTTGCAAAAAATTCAGGAAGACCCCAACAGATCAGAAAGTTTTTGACACTATGTTTTCCTATTTGAAGTCTTTTGGTTTATCTTATGAATCATGTGTAGGTATTTGCACACTTAGCAGTGCCAGTATTGTGTGGCACCCCATGGCACCCTTTAAAGGATCTCACAGCACCCCAGGGTGCTGCAGTACCCTGGTTGAGAATCCCTGCTCTAGATGTTTAGCCAGGGAGTCGGTTGCAGATAAGAGAATCATAGTGTGTGGGAATTTATGTAATACTTAGCCATTTACATACATACATACACACATATATGTGCTATCAGATCTATATTTGTATAGCATATTTAAATTTGTCTATATTAAAATGTACAGACAAATATTGAATTGATTCCAGGTACAAATATGCAGAGCCTAGAAAGATATTTTATACAAATACATTCCTTAATGTGTTACTGATTAGGGTGGATTCACTGCAAACTGTAGTACTTATAGTCAGCTTTGGACTGTTGGGGTTTGTTTTTTTTGCTTTTCCTGTTAAACTGATAGATGTCCTGTTTTGATCTTTTTCCTTCCTTTCTAGCAAAAGGTAAGCTTCATAAGTATCACTGTGCTAACACAATGTCCCCTGCTACTCTGAGGTAGATGCAGCTTACCATGTCAATGGGCACACTTTGGAAAGGGAAATGTTTTATACAATTGTGAGCTTTCATTAGACTTTCCAGATCTCTGTAGCTGGTTGTGAATGGATTGGAGGGAGTGTACAAAATGCAAGGTTTTAAGATATCCTACCATGTGTTTCATGAAGAATGACCACTGTCAGTAAATGGTTAATTCTAGGCTATTGTTACACCCATGTTGCTTTTTCCCAGGCTTTTTGGTAATAAGAGTCAATGATTTGCAGTAACTTGTTCTTACTTCTCACATATTTTTTACTGGCTTCTGACAAGTCTGTACAATGTGTCTGATGTCTATAAAGATAAGACAACATTGTAGAGTCCTCTGAAACATGAAGCCCTTTGGAAAACATAGCATGGATTTAAAAATAACAGCATATACCAAAATCTGTGAAGAAATATAGCCAAGTCCTTAAGCAGATACCCAAAATAATAGGATTAAATCTTTTGAAAGATGTCAAGGTAAGTGGTACTGAGAAAAAACTTGGCTTTCTTATTCCCTCTTTTTGTTTACAAGACACGAAAGAGTTATTTCCCCCATATCTCTCACTAAGAGGTATGTGATTTATTAGATATAGGTGTTACCTACCTTCTTGGGGGGAAAAAATCCACGGAGGATTAGAAAACAGTATCACTAGCACTAAAGAAGTAATGGCCAACCAGTTGAGAGATGGTTCAAAATGTAGTGTATTTGTTTAGTTATTTGATAAATACCAGTTTTATTCAAATCCCTGGTAAACATTTGACAAGAAATCTTTTCCTAGAGATTTGGCACCCTTGGACCTTCAGTTAAGGTCTTAATCCAGTTCCTGAATCCTTCAAAACTCCCAGAAAAGTCAAGGAAAATACAACTTAATAATTTTGAAGTGTCTACAATAAATTAAATGAGAAAACATTATTTAAATATATTCAGTCATTTAGGTCGTCTTTGGAGTCATAGATATATGTGAACCCAATTTTTCCCTTATATAGGTCACTTTTAATGTCCTGTGTAATGAAATAATTACAAATGAATACTGATTTGCTCAAGAGTTAATTGTTGGCAGAATATAGCTAGCTCTTAGCCTTACTTGCATGAAGAGTGCCTTTTACCTTGAGGAGTACTATTGAAATGAACAAACACAGTCAGAGAAGCTGCAAAGTATGGCCCTGGATAAATATAGTTTTGGTTCTCATGATGAATTTATTTCTGAAAACAAAGAAACTTTCCTTCAGTCAAAAAGTAAAATTTGCTGAATAATTTGCTATGATGATTTTCAAAGTGAAGCTCCATGCTCCTATGCATTGAACATACTTCCCTGGTTAAACCTTTATAAATCACAAAGTACTTTGGCTGACACTAAAATCATTGCCTGGTGCCTTCTGGACTTTATAAATATCAGTAAAACTTAATATACATTGAAAGTATTGTAGCTCTGTTTCGAGTGTCAAACTATGGCTGTCTGATAAATAGCCATTTATGCTATTATAAAGATCATTGACTTGCCTGAAGAGTTTGTAGCAATCAGGAATCCAGAAACCACCAGGATTAATCATTATTATTAAAATCCTTTTACTTGTCTATGAAGCTAACTATAACAATGAATCCAGAAGGTACTTGATTCACAGTTATAATAAACTTTGTTGGCTTTTGTGTCTTTAGTAACTATGAGCTTAAAATGCCAGAATGCTACACTTATAATCCCTGGAATTTTTAGTACCCCTGATCTTAGAAACATGACCTTTTTGCTTGTATAAATCCTGTCCTTCATGTTTTCTTCTGGTTATAAAACTGAGGCGAAGCTTTGCCACAGAAATTATAATAACCATGACTTGCTCCATTGGTGTCCTGCAGAATTTTTAGTTGTATTGAGTCAACAAATAATTGGTTCATTATCATATTCTGAACAGCTGGAGAATTGTAATAGCTTTGAACATAAAAATAGCTGGCTCAGATCTTACACATTTTTGGTTTCTTACCACAGTTTCTATCTCCTGCAGTTCACGAATGCCAGTTCACCCAATAAACTAAGCTGCGCAAACCAGTATAGAAATGTTAACTAATGGTTTGCTTAGTGGCGTTCAACTTAAAAAACATCAAATATGCTTCAGGATGGAACCATAATGGAATGAACATGAAAGAATCAAATAAGGGAGGCTACAGTTAGCTTGATTCCATTAAAACAGCCAAGACAGTGATTTAAATCTAGGCTGTGACAGCAATAGAATAATATTGTTTATTTCATATTGTTAATACAACTGTTTGTTCTAGTATAGGATGTATTTTATCTTTCAGGATTCTTTTAGAATTGTAATGGTTCTCTCACCAATAAAAACTAAATGAAACATTTCATTGGCTTCTCAATGGAATTTCTAATAGGTCTGAGGTAGAAATGTCACTTCATAAACTGCAGGGGTTTAGGTTGTAGCCCTGTTGGTCTAAGGATATAGGCAGACAAGGTTCCTTGGGTGAATTTGATATCTTTTATTAGACCAACCCAAATGGTTGGAGAATAGTTATTAAGCAAGCTTTCGGGTTCAAAAACCCTTCGTCAGGCTCAGGAAGCTGCAGGAAGTGTTTACAAAATATTAAATAGTGAAGAGAAAGTCAATAGAGTTGGAGAGAAGTCAGGCTGGAAGGGACTTCCAGAGGTCACCTAGTCCAACCCTCTGCCTGAAGCAAGGTCAGCCCTATCCAAAACCTCCCATACAAATCTATAACTTATTTTTAAAACTACCATCAACCCTGACGCAACACAAACCAAACACCCTAGCCTGCCACCGGTGATCCCCCCGCTACCTAACCCAGGGACTTTTTACATGCTCCCTAAAATCCACAAACAAGGGAACCCTGGCAGACCTATCATATCCAACCATGGGACCCTAACTGAGGAAATATCAGGTTTTGTTGAATCCATCCTAAAACCGCTTGTCACCCACAGAGCAAGTTTTGTCCAAGACACCACAGACTTGCTACGGAAACTTAAAAACATAGACCACCTTCCCAGGAACACACTCCTAGCCACCATGGACGTTACCAGCCTATACACCAACATCCCACACCAGGATGGCATCCATGCCTGCCTTACATATCTACAGGAACAAGATTACAACCCAGAATACAGACCCAAAGATATCACTGAGCTTATACACTTCATCCTCACACACAACAATTTCACTTTTAATAATCAACACTTCCTCCAGATGATGGGAACAGCTATGGGCACTAAAATGGCCCCACAGTATGCCAACCTTTTTATGAGCCACCTGGAAGAAGACTTCCTCAAGAACTGCACCATCAAACC